ATAACAAAATCTAAAAACAATAAGCATGAAATAAAATTAGAAAGACTGCATTAGCAAAAAAGGTATTAAAAGAAGAATGCAAGTCATTGTGATGAATTAAAGTATAATATCTTATGATAAAGAGGTATAAAAATAAGTAGCTTGTGTTGAGTTTTAGAAGCGAGTTGGTTTTGGTAATGGCAAGAGAGTGTTTTGCAAGTTAAATGAAATTTCATTATATTTTTTTAAGAATTAAAATAAAAAATTAATAAAAATTTTTATATTATAGTTTCCTATAACTATCTTATCCCATTTTGTGTTTATGTTTGTTTATTAATCGAAGTAAATTTGGTGGTTTAATATAATAACTGTTGTGTTTGTATTATAAAAAACTAATAAATAGCTTAAAATCAAAAAAATTGGAATATGATATGAATAGTGAAGTCATCCTGACCAAAGTCTAACAAAATAATCTGAAACCATTAAAAAACAATATTCAAAGTTTAAATACTCTTTAAAAAATGTGAACAATCTCAGAGCTGTCTTAAAGAAGGGGTAACAAACCCTGATTTATTTTTTTGGAGAGGTAGTTATAGACTCAATACTCAAAGAATCGTGTTAATATAAAATATATATAAGTGTTTAGCAGTATATTAATTAATTATAAAAAAAAATTTATGTATATAATGCAAAAATAGAATAAAATATAAATCTTTATTTTATTAAAAAATTAGGCATTACTTTTAGAAGCTACTGTACTTGGATTTACCCATCCTAAATCAATTATTATAAAATGCATCTATAGTGATTTTTACCTATCTGTATAACAGAACCTAGAAATCTTTTTTTATAATTAAATAAGTCAGTTTTATGAGTATTTTTAAATACCCTTAAAAAAATTAATAATAGTGCGAATCACTTTGGTATCTGATTTTATAATAGATTGAACTAACTAATAATACAACATTTTTCTGCTCACAAGGCTCTATAGTAGTTCAAATCTATAATAAGTTGATCCCAGTTCTGGTATAACTATATAAAAGATTATAATTTATACGTCACATGAATGACGCATCAACTTCTACTTTAAATATACATACAACAGATCATACAACTCATTAGACTTTAACTTTAACTTACTATTTTTATTGCCTATAAGCGTTTAACTATATTATTTACTTTTATGAATAAGCAGTTTTATATAGCTTTTAGAATGGGAAGTAAAGATGAATTCGACAAAATGGATCTATGTTTTATTAGCAGTATTGAGACGAATATATTTGACGATATTTTGGATTCTTATAAGCAACTTTGTTCTGAAAAAAGTAATAGTTTGGTAGAATCTGAGGCTGAAACTGATTTAAGTAATTCAGAAAAGAGTTTATATCCCTTAACTAAAGAACAAAGTTTCGCTAATTGAAAAAATGTTGAAAAGTAAGTAAAGTCAGATACTGTTTTTTTTTTTGCTTTTTTTTATACATATGATACAAATATTAATTAATAAAAGTTGGCTTGATAAGCATGGTTATGAACAAGGCTTCACTTTTTCTTTGGCAAAAAGTGAGTTAGACAGAAATAATAGAATACAAAGATATCGAGTTTATTATTGTTCTAAAAAGCATCGCTATAAAGTAAAGAAAAAGGCACATATACTGGAAAAAAGAAATAAAGCACATGAGAATATTTGTTGTGAGTATTATATTAATTTTTAGTAATAACCAAGTATATGTCTTGGGTATAGTTGGTGTGTATTTACATCTAATGAGCAATAATATCCAAATGACTATATCTTAATATTATCATCTTACATCTAAAATGTAAGATGATATCAAACTTCTTGCTGCTAGTAGTATATATACTGGTCTATTATTAATGTATTAATATACAAATACTTAAATCAATACATTCATGTACGTAGTATTTACAATATTGTTCAAATGATCAAAGCAGAAAAGGAAAAATTAAGTGATACAGGTACTATTTACAAAGAGCTAATGTGTAAAAAACAGGAGGTGCCCGGTTGGTATGTTGATACAAAATTTAAGGAAGTTGATAATCATCTTGTAGGGCTTATATGGTTGCACTCCAAACAAATTGATATTTGGAGTTGTTTTCATGATATCATTTTACTTGACACAACCTGTAAAATGAACAGGTTTAATATGATAATGTGTGTTGTTGTTTGTATAGATAATCATAATAGATCATGACTTGTTGCTATAGCTTTAAATATAGATGAACAAAAAATAATGTTTGAGTAAATCTTACAAGGACTACTTAATGCAACAGGTTGTTGATTTATTGTTTTTATTTATGTCTATTAATTTATTTATTATTTTTTTTTTTATATAGAGGGTTAGAATCTAAAATCATTTATATAAATACAGATTTGGCAATTACTGGTACAATTGAAAATATATGGCATGGTACAAAGCATTATTATTATTTGTTTTATATATGAAAAAATCTTGAAAAATATTTTCTCTCTAAGTTTGGTAGAGAAAAGTTTAGAGATTTCTTTCAAGGTTTTGTCAAGCATGCAATAGTACCACTAACACTGTTTTTGAGAGAAAGTAACAAAGGGTTATGAATCTATTTCCTAAGACACAATCTTATTTAAGGCATTAGCTTTATTCTCATCATGAAGCATGGGTTCTTGCTTTTACTCATCAATTTTTTTAAGTATAGTATACTATCAATTTAGAGAGTTGAAATATACAACACAATTGTGAAGAAATTATTTAATAGAACAACCCATTAATGGAAATAGTAAGCATAATAGAGCGATATTTGACAAAGGAGTCCTAATTTGTGAAATATAATGAAGCTAATGGGAAGCTACCACATGTCATACATGTATTGTACTGAGATCACTATTTCATAGCTATTGATGGAGCTTATACTAAATTTCTTACACCAGCTATACAAAAGTTGCAACAGAATTAAATAGATGAATATCCTTACTATTGAGCTTATTATACAGACTTGGAGTTTGAGTTACAACAACAAGCTTATGTTAAAATATTGATGAACTGGTATACTAAAAGTAGTCATAAGCTTGATTGTTGTTTTTAGGTTGTCTCCTGATAGGTCAAGCTATAAGTTAGAAATTTGATAAAATTAACAAATAGGCTTAACCTATTTGTGAATTTTATTAAATTTCTAACTTGTGGTTTGACCTATTAGAGATAGTGTTAAGTTATTTATATTTTTATTTAATTTAGAATATATCTGAAAGCATGTTTAGCGAAGATTTGTATAATAAAACACTCATTGAATTAATAGAACTTGTTGATAGTATTGATAATATCAAAAACTTTGAATAGTATCATATATTGATCAACAAAGTGCTATTTTATTGTTCTCTTTAGTGGTGCAAGTTATTTTTGTATATGTTTGATACTTGTAAATCATGGCTTTATTTGTCAGCACTTTTTTACTGTTTTATTGAAAGTGAATTGGCACAATTTCATATTGGAATTCTGGCAAAATATTGGTTTAGCAATCAAGCTATACAAAAAATGATAATTATAATAATAAATGGGGGGGTGCCAGTAGAAACCAAGCAATTTGTTTCTAAGTAAAATTTTTTTGGACTTTAAACTAAAATATCTCAA